TGTACAACAGAAGGAAACACTAGCTGGTCCTACACCATCCTTCATTTGTTATGCTTGAGCCTATTGTTGAAGCCACTGTGTCAATGCATCTCATTGATGATCTTCCCCTTTTTTGCTGAATCTCTTCTTTACCAACCATGATATCCTTCCCCAGGGGCTGGTCCCTTCAGATAACATGACCAAAGTCTGAGAGACTAACTCTGGCCATTCTCACTTGTAAGGAACATTCTGGCTGTACTTCCTCTAAGACAGATTTGTTCATTCTTCTAGCAGTTCATGTACATTCAATGTATCATCACCAAAACCACAATTCAAATGCATCAATTCTCCTGCGGTCTTCCTTATTCATTGTCCAGCTTTCACATGCATATAAGGCTATTGAAAATACCAGGGCTTGGGTCCAGATCACCTTAATCTTCAAAGTGATATCTTTGCTCTTTAACACTTTCAAGAGGTCTTTTGCAGCACATTTGCCCAGTGCAATATGTCCTTTTATTTCTTGACTGCTAGTTCCATGGCATTGATTGTGGATGGAAGTAACATGAAGTCCTTCATAACTTCAATCTTTTCTCCATTTGTCATGATGTTGCTCTTTGGTCCAGCTATGAAGAGTTTTGTTTTCTTTATGTTCAACATAATTCACTCTGAAGGCTGTAGTCTCTGATCTTCATCAGTAAGTGCTTCAAGTCTTATTCACTTTCAGCAAGCAAGTTTGTGTCACGTACATATCGCAGGTTGTTAATGAGTCTTCCTCCGATCCTGATGTCCCATTCTTCTTCGTATACTCCAGCTGCTGGGATTATTTGCTCAACATACAGATGGAATAAGTATATGAAAGGATACAACTGTGATGCACTCCTTTCCTGATTTTAAACCACACAGTGTCCCCTTGTTCTTTCCAAGCACCTGCCTCTTGGTCTATGAACAGGTTCCTCGTGAGCACAATTAAGTGCTCTGGAATTCCCATTATTTCCAATGGTATCCATAATTTGTTCTGCATCTATCCTCCTCCCCATTTCACACCCATCAGTGAAGGGGACTTGCTCAGAGAAAATATATCTCCTTTAGACTGCCTCTTAGCCATTGTGAGGTTGGATCCTCACACAGGTTCTCACCCTGAAGAAGGAGAAAAAAAGAAAAACTCACTGCCGTCGAATCAGTTCTGACTCATAGCGACCCCTCTTTGGGTTTCCAAGGTGGTATCACTACTGAAGTAGATTACCCAACTTTCCTTCCGAGGAGTGGCTGGTGGGTTTGAACCACCAGACTCCTGGTTAGCAGTCAAATACCTTAGGCATTATGCCACCAGAGGGTCCTCTCCCTCAGACTATCTTGTCCCATGTAAATTTTGTTGTCTCTGTTCTTCTGAACTCTTCCTTACTTTGAGTAAAATTATACTGCATGGTATCATATTATGGCCATTTTCTAATTCCATTGTATATGGAATTTTCTTCCCCATTTCTTAATTGTTTGTTACTTTAAGTTTTCAGGGATGAAAGTAAAGTAATCATATTTTTACTCAATTCATTTATTATAATCTCCTGTTAGAAATTCTTAATTTGGCAGAGATATGATGGAAATGCTGTTAGAGGAAGATTATTCTGGCAACCTGTTAAGGTATAGATTTAAATAGAGTGAGGTGACATAGCAAAGCTTTAGAATAATCTAGGCAAGCAGAACTTTCTGCAGTGGTGAAATTCGTGTATATCTGCACTGTCTAGTTTGGTAGCCACCAACCACATGAGGTTATTTAGCATTCGAAGTGTGGCTTGTATAAATGAGGAACAGAAGTTTTTATTTAATGTAATTTTAGTTAATTCAGATTTAAATAACTACATGTGACTGATGGCCACCATTTTGGACAGTGCAGAGCAAGGCAATATAAAGTTTTGAATAGTAGTCTATGGCTGAAGAAATGGAAATGAGAGAGAATATGCAAGAAGTGTTACAGAGATAGAAGCAACAGTGTTTTGGTATGACAGGGCCAAAAAGAGAGAGGAGATTTAAACAGTTCAAAGGCACTGAGGAGAACTGAGAAGCTGGTGGTTCCCTCAAATAAAAAGAGATGTATATCACCTAAGGCACTTGAATGCTAACCAGAAGGCTGGCAGTTCAAAGCCACCAGCTGCTCCTCGGAAGGAAGGTTGGGCAATCTACTTCCCTAGAGATACTCCCTCAGAAACCCAAGGAGGGGTCACTCTGAGCCGAATCAACTCGAGACAGCAGTGAGTTTATCAAGAGCTGTTTTGAAAAGTCATTTGCAATCATTTGGTAACCTTAAAAGGTGGCAATTTGAACCCATCCAGTGGCTGTGCGAGAAAGGCCTACAGTTCTGTTTCTATAAAGGTCACATCCAAGAAAGTCCTATGGGGCAGTTCTACTCTTTAACAGTGGCATGGCCGTGAATCAGAATGGACGTGATGGCCAAAGACCTTTTTTAAAAAAAAAAAAAATTTAAAAATTAATATTTTATCAGTTTGAGTTCCACTTGGTAAGGGGACTTCAAGTAGAAATGACTATAAACAATTAGAATTCTCACACTGAATTTGAGGGAGGGAGGAGAGTCAGAGTAACAAAAAAAAAAAAAAAAAAACACAATTTCCTTGACATTTCTCTCATGAGAGTTTCTTCTGCTCCGTAAACCTCTTTTCAGAGATTTCCTTGTCCTCCCCCACATGGAGAGACCCTGATATATGGCATAGTGATGGTGCTTCAGAGAAATTACTATTTCACCTACTGAGTGATTAATATAAAATTAGTTACTGTAGCACCTAGTGGTGCAGAGAGGATCAAGGAGGGATTTGGTTTTGTTTTAGAAAGGAGAAATATAAGCTAAAGTAGTGCTTTGCATACATGGAGTACTTTTCATCTGAGCAGCTCTACATACTCAGGGAGCTTAATGAATGAACAAACCTCTAAGAAAGAGAAGTGATGAAATAAAGATCTGCCAGGCCAGATACCCATTTCTATTCCTGTGATTTTTAAAAACCAAGCTTGGTGCTTTCCTCTGCCATTAATGCACAAGTATAAAATTCTGATGGGCTAAGACTTCTAGCCTCATGTGGCAGTCATGAGATATTCATCTTCCTACTGAATGATTTCTCTGGGAAGCACCCCATTTTGTGAGGGATTGCAGCCACACAGAATCCCACCCCCTAACTTTATTGATGCCCTTCGCTTGGCTTGCAGTGGAAATCTATCCCTATCATCATCATGCAGCAAGCCTTCTCTGGCAAGAAGAGTCGGCACCGTCCCTGGGAAGATGGTTTTGTTGCAGAATGAAGCAGGTTATCATCTCGATCAAAAAAATTATTCAAAACAAACATCTGTGAATCTAGGTCTACCATGCCTTGAAACGGGACAGGCAGGGCCCCTTAACGAGTGCCCTACTGTGTAATCTCCCTTTCATCTTAATTCAGAATCCCTTGGAGATTCAAGCTGCGTTTTGCAAAAATAATATAAATTCTTCTAATTACTAATGTGTAGGGTAGGCGGTTGGGCCTAGTCAACAGAGAAATGCAGTCCTGTATCCTGGCACTTATTTTCGTCTGTAGCGGCTTGAGGATAGATGGGGTTTGTTGTTCTGTACCTTCCTGTTGTTGCTGTTGTTATTGTTTCCTTCTCTCCTCCCCTGTTTCTTTTCTCCTCTTCTCTACTGCAAAACAGGAAAGAAAGGAAAAATACTGCTCTGCCAAAGGGAAAATACTTTGAAAGATCCTGGCTTCTAAAGATTTTTATGAAGGGCTTAATGTTTTGTAAAATAAACCCACCTGCCATGTGCAAAAACAGCTGTTTCTGTTGGAACAGAAGAAGAAACAGGGATTTTCGTTTCTGTTTTTTAGTTCACATCCAGGTCCTCTGTAGAAGTCTCTGGGCTAGATCTTTTGCTTCAATCCAAGATCCCCTCATATTCTCTGAGCCTGGGACTTCAGGTTTGTCCCATTCCTTCTTTAGGTACCTGAGCCAGCAGCATCCACCTTCTCTCATCCCGGACACAGTGGCCCTTGTTTGCCTGACAGTGTGAGGTCACACTCTTACCTCATTAGTGCTGAACACCTTCTAACATCATCGGGATCACCACTGCCCAATATGATGCCACAGTGACCTTTACATTTTAACATGTAGCTGGGACTTTAGAAGAGCTGATCTAACACTTTCCAGATTAAATGTCAAATTCTCAAAATTCAGCTGGATTTGGAATCCACCTAAGTATGTTTTTCTACTCCCATCCCCAGTAGGCTATACATTGGCACTGATTAGCAGTAGCATTTTGTAATATCACTTAAGGCTCTAGTGCTGTGGAATTCTGCCAGTAATGGTGTTTAATTCACTTATATGTGCCAATTCATCTCTGTCAGAAGCCTATTAATTTCTTCACTATTCTACTCTGTCTGTAGAGCCCGTGTAATGACACACAGTGATCCCCATTTGTGTAACCAAAAAACTTAGTCTCTTATAAATTACCACTGATCCCACTGCTTTTAGTAACCAGAAGCCTCTGTATTTCTTTTTCATATTTAAATCAATTTTTGAAGCTCTTTTCTTTAGAAGATTACACAGGAACATCAAGGACCAAATAATGAAATCATAGAGAAAGTATAAAATTCTGATGGGCTATGCAGAATATATCCCTGCCCCATGGAAGACTTTCATAAAATCGCACCAACGATGTACTAGTCACACAAACATATCCCATTTGTAGAAAGAGAATGTAAATGAAAATCAGCCTCTAACTCTGTAATCAGCCCAGTCATCAGTGTGCAAGATGTCAACATACCATGGCATAGCTATAAAAACAAAGACCCTATAACAAAGGTCAGTGATCTAAAATTCATCCATGGACTATGCTCTTGGCATTTCTGCATGATGTGATCTTGAGTAAACAGGAAAGTGACAGCTAAGAGACTGATAGGAAGAATTAACATTCATTCAGGGGAATCTTTCAGTATATTAGCATATACAACACACATGCATCACTGCTACCTGTTTTACGTTTTCAGGATTGGAGCAAAACATCAGGAGCTAAGGGAAAAGCAGGCAAGAGGTCTTGTTGATTACACTACCGGTGCATTTGGATCAGTACATGATATGGACGATGATGAAATGGACCCCAATTACGCCAGAGTGAACCATTTCCGGGAGCCATGTACGTCAGCAAGTGTCTATAGGTCTCCATCTCCACCTCGTCCTGGACCACTTGGCTACCCTCGGGATGGACGTCCACTGTCTCCAGAAAGGGACCACTTAGAGGGTCTCTATGCCAAGGTCAACAAACCCTACCATCCACCGGCTCCAGCTGACAGGTAATGCAACTTAGGGAAACCCTGACCCAAACCCACTGCCTTCAAACTGATTCCAACTCATAGTGACCCTAAAGGAAAGAATAGAAGTGCTCCAGGGTTTCAAAGGTTGTAAATCTTTATGGAAGCAGATTGCCTCATCTTTCTCCCACAGAGCGGCTGGGTATGAACCATCAACCTTTTGATTAGCAGCTAAATGCCTAACCACTGCAGTACCAGAGCTCCTTAACTTACTGAAAGATGAATGTAATTTTTATTCAGTAAGTTCCAAATTGCCTCTACAGCTGAGGGAGATAAAAATTCATCATTAAATCTATTAAAACTGAAATGACATGGTGCCTTAGACAGGTGCTGTGCTTTGACCTCCCAGTAAGGTATCAGCCACCAAGAACACAGCAATAGCCAGTTATCAGGTGGCATGAATGAGTAGTAGTAGTTGAATTCACGATGCAACAAGGAGCAATTTTTGAAGGAATATTGTGATAGAGAACTGATGATGAAGGCTTTGAAGTAATATTGTCCTTTGCCCTAAGAGCCCCATTGTAAAAGACTTTATCCCAGGAAATAGCATGACATTTGGAGGTGAGGAGTCAAGAGAAAATGATGACTTCCAAGTGGATGTAATTGAGGTGGAATTATAGATAGCTGCAGAAGTGCAAGGGACTCAGAAAAGTAAGAGACCTGGGGATTTTACACTCAAGGAATATGTGATCATGGATGATCAGAGATAGAAAAGAGGAAAGTCTTAGCAATAGGAGTTTGATGAAGTAGAGAAAGATAAGAGGTGACAAGGCCAACGATCCTTAGGTTTAACAGCTAAGGAAAGAGATAATAGGACCATCTGTCAGTACAATTGAAGTAGGTAGGGAACATGATGATTCCAACCCTGCCTCCTGCCAAAAATGAAATGCCTCACCTCTTGAAAATCCGATTTAAGACAGTTTTAGTCAATACACATTGTTAGGTGAGCCTTGGAATTACACACACAAGGAAGAGGTTGACTGACCTTGATCCAGCCTGACCATAGCTTGAAGTCTGGAAAGAGGAGGTGGGGAGAAAGAGTGGCGGTTGCATAAAGTTCTCTTTTCCAGATGAAAACAAGACTTATTTTCCAGATTCCTTTTGGTCCTGACAACCACCCACTCCCTATTAGTAACCAGCTTTTGTGTGATAGTATGATATATTGCATATGTTTACCATTTACGTTTCCCCAGCTGGGTGATATTATGCACTTTCAATTAGGTTGGGGAGAGGAAGGGAAATCATGGCATTTTTATGCAGACTGTAAAGTGTAGCTTCACAAGACTGATTACCTTTCAGAGCCTTTCCAATAACCAAGTGGGAAGGAAGGAGCAATTTTTAATCCTTACTGTCAAGTTTCCAGGTTGATAGTATTAAAGAAAGATGGTCAAGCTTTTCTTTGGGATAAAATGAAAATATAAATTCCTATGATTGTGTGATACAGTCATAATAATGAAACTGCTAATTCAAATATCTGATTAAAGTAGGCATTTTCTCCTCAACCTTCATATAAGGTTGAATTTTATCATATAATTATGAATACTAGGCTTAAGTCTCTTCTGGCCCAGACCATAGTCAATCTTACTTTCCCTAAATCAGACAGATCTTCATAGGAATCCTCTTTACATATGCCGATTGCTAGAAGTTCCAGCACAGAGGGACTGTTCCAAAGAACCTCCCACGCTGGTATTTTCCACTACTAATTTTGTGGAAATATATGCAAGCATTCTATTAAGAATGAAGAAAAGGTGACTAGTCAAATAAACCAAAAAACAAACCAAACCTACTGCCATGGAGTCAATTCCAACTCATACCAATCCTATCGGACAGAGTGGAACTGACCCATAGGATTTCCAAGGCTGTAATCTTTACAGAGGAGCTCTGGTAGTGTAGTACCTAAGGTATTTGACTGCTAACGAGAAGGCTGGCGGTTCAAACCCACCAGCCACTCCTCGGAAGGAAGAAAGATTGGCTAATCTACTTCATAGAGATACTGCCTTAGAAACCCAAGGAAGGGTCGCTATGAGTCGAATCAACTGGAAAACAGTGAGTTTGGTTTGGTTTTTGAATCTTTACAGAAGCAGGCTGTAATCTTTCTCCCATAGAGCCATTGGTGGTTTCAAACCACCATCCTTTTGGCTGGCGGCTGAGCACTTTAACCACTGTTCCACCAAGGCTCCCACTAGTCAAATACATCTTGGGAATTCTGAATTAAGCCACAGAGAACAGGTTTCTTTCTTGCAGTCTTCTTATCCTCCAGATATGCTAACGTTAGTATCCAAGAGGAGCATTCAACTGTCAGCACTTTTTATCACCAATTGCTCCCTTTTTTTATTTTTCCCCCAGATCTTAAAGTAGTTCTTTGAAACACTACTACAGAAATGCTATCCAAAGCTAATTTTCACCCGTGTGAATTTAATGAGACAAGGAATTTTTTAGAATGCTTCTAACTGTAGTCATTCTAGAATAGTATCAGGAAAAAATAAGTTACTTACTGCCCCATCCAGATACGCATATAAGTAATAGTCTTACTTTTGGCTCTGATTCCTTTCTATTAATAAATAATCTAAAGTTACCTTTAAGGACGTTTTAGACCATTGTCACATTTTTGGTTGGTAGATCCCAGTATGACTCTATACTCAGACTTATCTTTATTCTATTCTTATCTTTAATTAGATTTAAAGATTACCCTGAAATGATTCCTCCTTATTTAAGGCTTAAAGCAAGTAGTTTTTGTCTTGGAAAGTGGTAAGCATTCAGTAATGTTAGCTACCATCATCATCAAGGAGTCCTGATTACACAGTGGTTAAGCACTAGGCTGCTGAGAGCTCCAGTGGCTTGAACCTCGCAGCTAGTCCACAAGAGAAAGACATGGCAGTCTGCTTCCATAAATAGTACAGCCTTGGAAACCCCATGGGCAGTTTTACTCTGTCCTACAGGGTTACTATGAGTTGGAATTGACTCCATGAAAGTGAATTTCATTATCATCATTATTGTTGTTACTTGTTTTTGTCAATGGAATTCTGAACTGACCTGATCTTCCTTGAATCAGGTAAGTCTAGATGAAAAAAGGCTTATTTTCCAGATTTATTCCAGAGTCTAAGAGTTCTGGTGGCATAGTGCCTAAGGCATTTGACTACTAACCATAAGACTGGCAGTTCAAACCCACCAGCCACTACTCGGAAGGAAGACTAGGCAATCTACTTTCATAGAGATACCACCTCAGAAACCCAAGGAGAGGTCACGGTGAGTCAGAACCAAGTCAACAGCAGTAAGTTTGGTTTGGTTTTTTTGGTGAAGAAGAGAGATGCTATGACAGTGCCCCTAACTGTGTCCATAAGCAGGAGTCATGAGTTCTAAGCCCACAATTAGAAGGTGCAGTCATTCATCTGTTCATCTTTTACTCATTACAGTATTTAATACCTGTTGTATTCTATTCTATCTACTGTTCTAAGCTCTATTGACAATACAAAGATGGCTACACTATGACACCAGTCTATGAAGAGGTTGTATCTAGTTGAGAAGGAGGGAAACACATGCAGAAAAGAGTATTTGTGTTATACAGGTAGCCCTCAACTTACAACAGGTTCAAGTTACAGCAAACTGCACCTACAGCTGTCCTTTTTTTTAACCCCCTGCATCTTTAATAATGTATACTACATACGATGTACATAATTTGCTGATGTTATCATTCTCATACCAACTCCCAAGGACACATAAAGATCAGACTTATAAAGATACTAATAATAAAAGGCAATAATAATGAAAACTTAAAAAAAAAAAAAAGAGGTATTCAACTTATGTCAGAATTGACTTAATTGGACAACTTTGGAGTTGTCCAAACAGAAGCCCATTATAAGTTGGGAAGGACCTGTAAAGTACACAGCAGAAAAGGAAGCTGCTAACTTTCCTTAGGCTAGTAAGGAAAGGCCTCCAAAAGGAGGTGATATTTGAACTTGTTCTGGAAAGATCGGTAAAAATTGACCAGACGCAGTGGCAAAGTTTTCCTCCCTATAGAATAATCAGCATGTATGAAGGTGGAGTGTCCTGGAAGAGGATAGGCAGTTAGGGAACAAAGAGAAAGAGGAGTGCATTCTTTTCCTTGTGGAGCTTACCAGCGAGCGAGGATACAAAGCATAAACCCACATTTAGAGCCCAGTGTGGAAAGTGCTACTTCAAGGTAAGCACAGGGCCGTAGTTGGGGTTGCAGCTATTGGCTTTGAGGCTCAGGGCGCAGCATGGGTGGCAGCCTGGAGATGACAGAAAGCATGGTGTGTTAAAAGAACTAAAAAAAAAAAAAAAAAAAACCACTCAGTAAAACAGAAACCTGAGGTGAGAGGAGCAAATGGCAAAGAGAAAACTAGAGGATCTGAGAGGTAGGCAGGAGACAGATGACAGAGCCTTGGAGGCCTGGCTGAGGAGTTTGGCCTCCATCCTGAGAGCACTGGGGCCAGGGTTGGGATGGGAAAAGGATCACTGAAGGGTGATAAAGTGAGACATAATCCTGGAGTTCAGTAGGCTGTTAAATGGCGTTGGCAGTTCTGCCTCACCTGTAATTCGTGTAGATGACTGACATCGAGTCCACTCTGAGCAACAGTGACTGTGTGTACAGTGTTGTGCGATCGTGCATCATCCCCATGACCGTTGGCATGATTCAGTCCATTGGTGTGGCTTCTGTGCCGATCCCCTTCATGAAGGGTCTCCTTCACCCTCACTGGCCCTCTACTTTACCAGACATGATGTCCTTCTCCAGCAACTGACCCTTCCTTCTGACATGTCCAAAGCAAGGGAGTCAGATAATTTTCTGTTGTGATCCAGAGGTCTTCGCTGGCTAATTTTCGTAAGAAAATAGTCAGACCTTTTTGTCCTAGTCTTTCTTGGTCTAGAAGCTTTGCTGAAACCTGTCCGCCATGAGTGACTGTGCTGATGTTTGAAATACTGGTGGTATAGCCTCTAGCATCACAGCAATACCACAGTATGAT